GGAGATGGGAGAGGAGATGCAGTAACATCACATCATACCACATTACATTAACACAAAAACATTGTTAAGCCGCCTTTCACTAAATTCATTTGGTTTTAATCACAGTAATATTTATGGGCACAGTAATATGATTAAATTATAAGTTTTGCACAGCCAGAGCAAACCTTACTGCACAGAGAGAGATTTGTTTCCCATCCTGATTTGCTATTTGTACAATAGGCAAGCACACAAACAACAGATATACTTTTAGATATACTTCAATGTATCTAAAGGAAGTATATCTAAAAAGGCTAACCTTGCTATTGCTTTCAGCCAGAATACTCTTGAATTCAAGTTTCCACATGTAAAGCCTTTGTTCATGCGGTTGCTACATATTGGACCCCTTCATCCTGTGTCTCTCACTGGGCATGTTATCTCCTTACTGGAATTAAAAGTTCTCTCATCACTGTATCTAGACTTAGCCTTTGTCGCTAAAGTTTCCCCATATCTTTCTTCTGCACAGATTTACCTTGTAGTTAGCTCAGTATATTTTATTCACACAATACAGGAAAGATACGGAAAAGGAAAAATAAGGCATTTCTGCTAGAGGTTACTGAGAGAAAGCTGGACATCTGCTTTTGCTCTGCACAGGATAGACTGACTCATAGGATCCAATCAAAGTCTAGCTATTAATTTTTAAAGATTTTTAATGGGAGGAAAGAAAAAAGCATTTGGTAATAACTTTGTCTCCCAGTACATACTCATCCTTTTTGCACAATTATTAGAAAACAGAGTGCTGCAGCTTGAAACAGCCCACCCTAATCCAGACACAGACTATCACATCCCACAGAAGTCAGATGCCATCAGGAAAGGTGTCTGTATGTGTGTACTGAAGGACTATATTGACAAGATGTACTTGCTCAGGTACTTTATATATAATCAACATAATAAAGCATCAGAAAGTTCCAGAGCGGCTCAGGTCTGAGCTGTCAGGAGCTGAACACGTTCCTGCTTTTCTGCAAAGGTGTTGGTAGGGCCTTGGGCCCTCAGAGCTGCGTTCTGATCACAGGATCTTCATCAGTCTTCAGGTATTTTCCATTTACAGGCTCCTTGAGTGCCCAGTCATGGAGGAGGCTGTAGTCATAGTGCTCCTCATCCACTCGTTTTAGAAAAGCCAGTCCAGAAATAGCTTGCCACTCTCTGAGGGATGGGATACGGATTTCCTTTACGTTTTCACTCCCTGGGACAAAGCCGAAGAACTTCCTTACGTGCTGCATGGCATACAGCCTGGAGTGTTGCTCTGTCGCCTCGTCAAAGAGCTCCTGCTCATTATGGACATAGCTGCTCCAATATCTGAAATGTAGAAAACTGAGTGGGGAGAAGCAGCTTGCCAGGCAGTAAGACAGGAAGACAGTGATGACTACCACAGCAATCAGGAGCCAGCCAGCCACCTTACAAAAAAAAAAAAAAAAAAAAAAAAAAAAGGAAAAAACCTGTTACAGCTGAAAATACAGTGGTAACTTCTGCGCATCAGAAAATCTGTAGGATGATCATAGAATGGTTTAGGTTAGAATAGACCTTAAAGATCATATAATTCCAATCCCACCTGCTATGGGCAGGGACATCTCCCACTAGACCAGGTTGCCCAAAGCCCCATCTTTACTTCTCCTGAATAATTAGGTTAACAAGGTATAAATAAACTTGCTAAGGGTCTGTTGCCATCATACCCAGTCCCTGCCTACTTTTCCTGGTTTCAGCTGGGAAAGAGTTACTTTTGTTTCTAGCGATTGCTGTGAAAAGAATTTCAATAATGCATATTGGTTTAATTGTTGCTAAGCAATGTCTTTACCTTTCAAGGACTCTTTTCAGCTTCCCACAGAAGCTGAGAGGGAGAATAGACAGAACAACCAATGGAATATTCTGTACCATAGACATTATGCTCAGTGTATAAATGGGGCTTGGCCAGGGGGGAAATCCAGAATCTCTGCTCGGAGAGGTGGTAAGAATAACTTGTGTCATTATTATTATTGTTGTTATTCTTCCTTTTCTGTTACTGTTCTATTAAACTGCCTTTATCTCAACCCACAAGGCTTTTTTTTTTCTTTCCCATCCTTTGCTCCCTCTTCTCCCTGCGCTTCAAGGGGAGAAGGGAGAAAACTGCATGAGTGACTGCGTGGTCCTAGCAGCCAGCTGGAGTTAAACCACAACATTACTGGAGGTAGCCATGGAGCAAAGCTGCTTCTTTCTGTCAAGTTTAAGGAAGTTTTTTTATATAATTTGTTAAGGATTTTGCCTTCACGACTATTATTGTAATAAGCCATCTAATTCCTAGCCTAATATAGCCTATTTAAAACCAATTTTCTCTGAAGTGACAACTTAATATTCCCCCTATTATTTACCCAGTATGTAACCTTTTAGAATTGAGTCTGATCAACAAACCAAGATTTTAGTTTCGTTCACGTGGAACCCTTATGGCCTGGCCCCATTAGTCACATGTTTCTTAAGCTTGAACAAAGATATTTCATACCCTCCCTGGCTCTTGAGCTTCCATTTGTCTTGATGGTACTTTTCAAGATACCAGCAACAGGTAACAAATAGGACAACCAGACATGGTAATTTATATACCTAAGTTTCAGTTCCACTTAACAGGAACAAAGTAGGCTTCAAAACACACAGATTTGGCACTCAAGGCGGAAGATACCGATCCTGTTTTATCTTAACAATTTGCTGAATTAATTCTAGTTCTCATCATTACAGGCAACAGAAACAATGAGTTACTCACTTGTGACTGGTACC